TCCTTCTTCGAAGAAACTGGCCTGTTTGAAAGTAAAGATGCCATCAGTTTTTTATATCATTCTCCAAACTTGTCAGCCTTTATCCTTAGCGATGACTTCAAGGACAGGACTCAACTCCTAGTTACTAACGCTATATTTGTGTGTTTGCATAAAGTCCTAATTTTTCGAATAAAATGGAACAACAAATACAGTTGTTTCGATAAATTATTTTGGCGAGTATGCAGAAAAATAAAAAACAGCCCTTATGCAAACTTCGGGAGCAGAAGAAGAAAATAAGAAGTGTCAATTTTTCTTTGAGTTTCAGTATTGCGAAAGGACTCCCTCAACCCAATGAAAAATAAATTTTGAATAGATAGGTTTCTCCTCTAATTTTCTGCTTTGGAATGGAGTCAGTGGAAGAAATGGCTATTGCAAAAGCAAAGGAACGCAGGGTGAAAAGGTCAGCCCATTTTTCTTTTTGCTGATTACTAAATTTGCAGTATGTCATCATGTTTTACTTGCCTATATAAAATTCCACTTTTAATTAACCTAGAAAGTTCTGTACCCTAAAAAGTTATTGTTTGATTTTTTCATCATAAAATGGTCTTCAAGAAATTTAAGATAAAAATTTCTGTCATTAAAAGTTAAATTTCTTGCAGCATTTTGATGTAAAAATTCCTTCACATGTTTTCACTGAGGGTTTTGTTGCCCTCTTGTGAGGAGGGCTGTGCACCAGGGTGTCGACCCACATTGGCTAGTGAAAAAGGCTTGCTTGATGCGAATTAGGAAAAAGTTATAACTATTGATTGAATTAGGAATACTGATTAATTGATGGTGGCTAGAGCTGTCAATGAATTGAATTTTTATCCAAATTTGATAAAATTAATGAGAGATGGATTTAGGATCTCGGTCCAACAATCCGATCAAAATTCAAATTCAATGATCCATTAACTAAATGGAGGAAATATTAATATAGGTCAATCCGATTCAGTAACAACCCAATGCGATTTGTTATAAACATTTGAGTCAGTTAATATTTTAATGGCATGTTATTTGTCACTAAAATGAATAAATGAGAAAATAAAGAAATTTAGAATAAAAAGGTCATCAAATTCAAAACATTAAAAAATAAATAAATAAGAAAGTTTATCAACGTGTATACCATCAATTGTTTGTAGCGGGTTTTCTTTTGCTTTTCAAAAAGTCATGAGCCATCCCACATCAATTTCCATATAAAAAAGAAAAAAGAGAAGAAAAAATGATGAAGAAGAAGAAGAAGCTAGAGGAATATGTTATAAATAGGACAGGTCATTGGTTGAATTTTTCACTATTTGGACTTTATTAGTTTAAAATATAGGAAACTTACATTAGAGCAGGTATTTAAAGATCACACTTCAAAAATCATATATGAAGTATTTTTAATCAAATTCAAGTGACAATTTGATATTTTAATATTAATAATTATATTACAAATTCAACACTCACCAAAATAGTCACCCCACCCAATTTCAAACCCTAAAGGTCCATTCTCTCCCTCTCCCTCTCGTCGGATCTCACTCTCCCTGTCCCTGAAGCCAGAATGGATCTCCTCTATTACTCTCCCTCTCCTCAACAAGATCCGTGAGTGGCAATGCTGCCTCAAATCCGCACTCCAATTTTCCATTTTCCTCTTCAATGGAGACTGGCAACGAACTAAGTGCCGTCGTGCGTAGCACCAAATCCTCGCTCCACCTGGACCATCGCACATAGCGATGATCTTCTTCTAGCAATGAGTGGTGAACTACCTCCACTCGCAACAACCGCTTTTTCAATGTTTGTGGTTGGTAGTCGACAAAGTTTGTGGTTTGTATGCAGTTTGTGGGTTGTGATTTGAGACAATGATGGTGGTGCTATTGACGAATTTGGATTTTTTTTTAGGAATTTAAGATGATGGCTGTGGTTTTGTTGGATCTGGTGGTGACTGTATGTTTGTTGGTTGCGGCAACGGTGGTGGATTGACGGTTGTGGTGATTTTTGTTGAACATGGCGGTGGATCTTGAAGCGGTAGTTTGACAGTGGCAGTGGTGTTTTGTAGTTGAAAATGGTGATCTGTTGGTGGTTGTGGTGGTGAGTTGGTGATGGTTTTGAAGTTGAAAATGGAAGTTTGTTGGGGACGATGATGATGGTGTTAAGGTGGCATTGCTAGTTGTGCCTGTGTTTTGACGATGGGATTGTGTTGGTAATGGTGGCAATAAGCTGTGATGGTGGTGGTCGTCTTAAGTGGCGATGGTAGTGATATGTGACCAACTATTTAATTGTGAAATAAAAATTCGATAATTTGTGACTAACAAATAAACTGTGATCTACAAATTTTTTAATTTATGTGACCTATCAAAATTTTTTACTGTGATCAATTAATTTGATAATATATGTGATCTATAAATATGTACATATGACCTTTAATTGTATAATTGTGACATTAATATATTTAATTAATAAAATATATTTATTTATTTATACATGGCTTTTGAATTTTGAAACTTAAAATTTGAAATTTAAATTGGCCCATAGTTAATACGTGAGTTTTGAATTTTTCCTTTAAATTATGGGCCTAAATAATAAGTTAATTTTAACACTGATTTTATCTTCCTAATTTCTTCAATTTCGGATCAGATTATTAGATCAGATATCCGATAACATACCAAATCGAATATGAATTTAACAATCAAATATCCGTTGGATTATTTAATCGAATTGAATTGCATATAAGCTAATTCGGTTCATATTCGATCCATTTACAACCCTAATAGTGGCAAATACATCTAGTGGTATAGGATTAGGGCAAAAGATTATCAGTGTTTTTAAATAAATATGTATTAAATCCAAAATTGAAACCTACATTAGGTCAACAAATGTATGGTTAAAAGTGACGTTATTTGTAGTCGTTTACTATCGTAATTGTCCTACGTAGTTTACTGTGACAGTTAATAATTTGATACATCGCTTACTACTGTCACATGTATGCCACCACGTATGATAACTACGATATTGAGCGATTGCAAATAGTATTGTCCTATAATTAATTATAAATTCCAAAAGGTTAAATGCTTAAGCAAATTAATGGATGCTTGTGTCCAAATTAATTGAAATTTGAAGAATGAAAGATTATTAAGGACAAACAAATAAATAAAAGATTTCACTGCGTTCGGCTAAGCAAAAAAATAAAAATAAAAATATATTCCTTACTAATAAGTTTTCAGATAACTAACTTTTTTCTTAATCATAGTTGAAACTTAAGTATGTAAATTACTTATTTTTGGAAGATGATGAAGTTACTTCTAAATAATTAACTTTGTCAACTTAAGAAAGTAAATAAAGTTAAATATATCCCAATAATCTTTGAAAATACAAAGTTAATTAATAGTAACTTATATTTATTTTTAAGTTAAATTTTCCAATCCCATATTGTCAAATTAAGAATGATTATCAAATAAAAAAATCACACACAAAGTTGGGCGCAGTTCTCATAGTACATTATTGGCAAAGTTTATAGCTACTTATAAAATGATCAAACTCTATTTATATCCAAATTTATTTAATTCCTCATTTAAACCAATAAATAATCATAATTACATAATAGTGTTACATTATAAATTTCATAAGATAACACGAAAATAACTAGAATATGGCACGGAAATCTTGCTTTACTAAAGTGGATTTAAACCTTCAATGGTATTTTGATTACCTATTGTAATTTTTCCTAGCAGAACATTTTGATGCAATGGTCACTATTGTAATTGATGCTTGCTGCGTTTTTCTTTCTTTTGAAATGGCAAGTTGTCTCTCCTCATCTTCACTTTGACTCTCAAGTCTAAGAAATATATAAATTGAAAGCTAAGAAATAAAAAGAGGCATTTGGAAAATACCTGGAGCAAATGCCTATATATAGACCTTCACATTAGTGAGATGGCATGAGTGCCATTTTCGAGGGATGTGGATCCTTACCCATTCCAAAAGTTAGGGAGAGAACATTGAAAAGTGTTGCCGCTTGTATCATAGTTATTATGTCACATAAGTGAACGATGTTGGTCGAGGATGAACCTATTTTGAGAGTGGTTGGCCTTGGCCAAGGGGCGGAGCCAGGATTAAACTTTATGATGGGTTACTAGTATAAATTTTATAAGCATCAATAGTTGGAGAAAATTATATTTATTTAAAAGTAAACACACATCTAGTTATGTGAACATAGTGAATCTTAACCCTCAGTATGTGTGAACTAATATAATACATTAACTCAAGAACGAAAAGACCCAAAGAGTAGAATACATGGATATTATTTGAGACAAGCCCCTTAAATTCCCACTAAAGAGTCAGCATCATTCAAGCCATTCCCAGACATTTCATTCGGGCAGGGGATCCAGGCCGGCCTCCCCCTCTATCCGCCCCTGCCTTAGCCAATGTCAACCTAGGACCCCTTTTGGATAATATTTATGTTATGTAACTCAACTGGTGTAACAATCATCCGCCTCTGTGACACTACGATCACATGCCATTAAACGATAAGTTCAATTAAATATAGTATTATGGGAACACATTTAATTAAGTCTATAAGTAGTATCACATAGACCAGGGTTAAAACACCAATCAGACTACGTAGATTTATTCTTTGGGCAGTCGACCTCAATCAAGGTTACATTTTTATACAATAATTTTTGTTCTTTAAACCAAGAAACTTTCCCACTTGATTACAACAGTCCAAAAAACAGAATCCTAATTGATATATCAATTACACGATGGATAAAAGTGGATCATTCTAAAATCATGGATGCAAAAGAAAAATTCTTTGGGGAGATTAAAAGCCTGGTCAAAAGCTGCCAAACTTACATATCCATAAAATTTTCAGAAGATTGCGGAACTTCTTGTTTAGCTGCAGGCTTGCTCTTCTTCAAAATTGCAGTTAATTATTTTAATCTCTCTCTCTCTCTCTCTGTGTGTGTGTGTGTGTGTGTGTCTGTTGCAAAAACAATATAATTTAAGGTAAATCTCTTTATCCAATGATCATTTTGATTAGTGTGAGCATTTCATAATCTTTTCTAAACAATATAGACTAGTTTCCATTAGGCCTGCACATTTTGATGTGTTTTTTTATAGTAAAAGTTAGATTAAACACCATCCAATTTTACTTTTCAACATCAGGCCGAGGCCGGCATAGAACAAAGAATTTCATTTGCTAAGATTTCTGTCTCGTTCGAACAATTCGAAAATCTGCCTAAAAAGAATAACTTCATTTTCTTCTTGCTACCATTTTTGCAGAAGATTAATGAAGGCACAAGTGAGTAGTGCAGAAGTAAGGCGACTTCACGTTGTCTACTTTCTTAGTCGAAGTGGTGGTGGCGTTGAACACCCTCATCTCGTTCCAGTCCATCACCTCTCCAGTAATGGCGTACGGTTACGAGGTTAGTCATTGATCCATGTTTCCATACCTTATTGTATATGCATTAATTTACTTAGACATTCGTATGTGCATATAATATAGAGAAATGATCTAATGAGTACCAGTGCTCACCGTCAGTGTGTCTTTATCCACCAATAAATTAATATGACACGTTACCGATACTTAATAATATGAACACCGATGTTGATTAGGTCATTTCTAAAATAAAATAATACATATGTTTATTTGATGAGCATATTTTGATACCTAAATCGTAAAAACAGACATAAAGAAATGGTTGGCAGAATTGCGAGGGAAGGACATGCCAGAATCATTTGCTTGGTCATACAAGAGGTTTGTACATTTTACACACTAGAAATTGCATTCATATTTAGAGTGATTCGCAGGATTCTATTTCGACGCATTGGATCGGGATATAGAGGAACAATTTGTTGCTATTAGACGAGTTTCTCGGTTTTTTTTATTTTTGTCATAATGCCCATCTCGATGAGTTGAAAGAGGAATTCCTATAAACTTCTGATATTCCGCCGAACATTCAGAATGATCTTAGGAAAGGAAGTAATGATAACACATTACTAATCGAGTTGTCCTTGGTGTACAAGGGAAAACTGTACAAGGTTTTTGCAGAGGAGGGAGTGTCATTTTCAACATTCCTTAATTTCATTATTTAGTCTAATTCGAACATTTTAGCTTCAAATCTATTTTTCGTTATTTTTTTTTAATTTTAATTTTTTTAATTTTTTGGGGTTCAGGAAGTATAGGACAGGATATATATGGCAAGATTTGCTGGATGATGATCTCGTTACTCCAATTACGGACAATGAATATGTCCTCAAAGGATCAGAGATTTCCTCTCCCACTTCTAATAAAGGTAAATCTTGTTAAATATCAGTTTAGTTTTATTAAAACATTTTCTATTTGATAAATGATAAGTCAAATCTATTTTAGTTAAAGATCAATAAATAAAAATCATATCGCTAAAAAATTTCCTTTCTTTTTTATTCATTTTTTCTTAATTATTTATTTGACAGACCTTTCATACAGTCAAAAGAAAGTTACCATGCAAGAAGAGCCATTAACCCTTGAAGAAATTAAAGGCCACAAGCCCTCTTGCATTCAAATTCATTCAGAAAAATCAATGGATATCTCATCAAAAACACCATCAGAAATTGAAGAAGAATCGCCAAAATTTGGCTCCGAGACATCCACATTTACCAATGATTCTGGAGAACTCAACCCCAAACCAGAACCGGAACCAGAACCAGAACCAGAGAAGAATTCAGACACTGTCAAGCAAGAAAATATGCGTGTTAGTACTGATTCAAAACTTCCCAGAAAAGAATTAAGAAATGAGAATCCAGTTCCTTCTTTGGATTCAACTCCATCAAATAAGGACAAGAAGAAGATGAACAACAAAGTTCCAATGGAGAAAAACACTAAACCAGCTTCATCAGCCCGTTCATTCACAAAGAGCAAGAGTTTTTCTAGTGGTGCATCCCACATATTCAAGAATTTGATTTCATGTGGTGCTGTGGATACTAATGATTCAGCAGTAGTGACGATCGATCGAAAGAATAGACCTTTCTTGAATATGTGTTCTAGTGATGAGAATGATGTTCACTCGGAAGAAATTTGCAAAAGGGGATCTCAGAGGACCTTTGGGACCTTACGGAATCAACAACAATGGAATGGGAGGTAATTTACCTTACCGTAAACATGTTTATAAGTTTAACCGAAGAGGACAACATACAAAACATGTCATATATGTCTCATCCTTAATCATGTCAAGTCTTGGTTAATTTTAAAAACTTATTTCTAAATTACTTATAAGTAGCGCTAAATTGTTCCATGACTAAAATATTCTAATTCTTAATAGTCTCATAAAGATAAACTTGCTTATCTTTTTCATTTGTCCCAAATTATATATCATTTTCCTTGTTCAGAATATAGTTGATTTTTTAATTTTCTAATATACCCTTATTTAATGTTCCTTGTTATCAATAAATATGAACTACTTCTATTTAAATTATTATTTAATTTAGGAATATATTAAAAATATATAAGTAAAATTTATATTTTTAATTGTATTAATTACATTTTGTTAATTTGTGTGAAAAATAGAAGTAAGCTTACAAAGGGGAAAAAATTGTTATAGTTTACAAATATTAAACGGGTTAATTTCACAAATGGTCACTGAACTTAACTGAAAATCTCAAAACAATCATTGAAGTTTAAAACTTACAGCAACGGTCACTGAAATTACATTTTCTTTCAGAAACGGTCACTGACAATCCATGCATATTTTATGTGTTTTTGAACCTGAATTTCAAAAACCGTGGGTGGGATGGTGTTTTTGAACCTGAATTTCATGTGATTTTTTATGTGTTTTGGTTGATTGTTGGTATAGGATTGTGGAGGGGGATGAGGAGGTGTTGGTGATGTAAAAATTAGGTGGTTTATCCGGCGGTATGGTGGTCGAATTTGACAAATTTCGGCTCCGACGAAATATGGTGAAAGTGGTAGTAATTTGGCTCGATTTCTAAATTTCAGGGGCAATTTTGAGCACATGAAATTAGATTATTTACACTTGAGGTTCTCAAGGATCCAATTCACGTGTTTTGGTCCATCAATGACCGTTAGTGAAAGCGCATGTAAGTTCAGTGACCGTTGCTGCAAGTTTTGAACTTCAATGACCGTTTTGAGATTTTCGGTTAAGTTCGGTGACCGTTTGTAAAATTAACCCAATATTAAACACTAAAAGAACAATTTAATATTTGAAATACAAGGTATTTTTATTATCATGATTATTACATTTTTTTCATTAGTTAATTTTTAATGACTATACTAACTAATATTTAGTTTTAAATTTATTGATATTAAATTATTTGATACAATTTTTTATTTAAATAGTTTTACATTTTCAGTGTGATTTAGTTGTTTTGTTCACTTCATTAGAGAAGTTACAGTAATTTTCTAATCTTTAAAGTAACTTTTTCAAAGATATTTAACTAAATTACTCTTTCACTTATTTCTAGAAATGTTATTTCTTTTTAAATAAGGCAAATAGGAGATATTTTAAAAAGAAACAAACTTATTTTCAACTAAATTTTCCTTCTCGGATTTGTGCCAGAAGGAGCTGCGATGGGGAGAAGGATTCAAGAAAGCAAAAGACACCCTTAACTGCTTACAAGCAAATCAGAGGGCCGAATTGCTCGTAAGTTAATTAGTCACACATCTTTTTCTTTATTTCACTTCTTTTATATAAAAAAAAAAAAAGAAAAAAAAAAGAGGTTGAATCCCAACTTTGAGGGCCCCCACTGTCCCGCCCCTAGAGCTTTGTAAGGGAGGTAAATCGCAGGATGTGCTTCAACCGGTCAGGGAACAAAAGCTGTCTGTACAATGCGCTTACAAAGATATTTCACTTCTTTTATCAAAATATTAATCGTTACACCATGTACAATTATCTCATCTGACGAATCAAACTGTATTTTTGTTCGAATTGAACGCAGGCAATGTGGGAAGTCATTCAAGCCAGAGAAACTACTTTCACATATGAAATACTGCGAAGGAATGAAAGCCTTAGCCAAGGGTGCAAATCCTGCATTTTCTGCTTCTATTGCTCAGACGAAATCACAAAGACCGTCGTCCAAGGAATCCCAAAATATGGATTCACTTTCTGGCTACTACATAACCAATTGATTCTTACAACTATCCATTTTACAGTATTCAGATTAGTAATGTTCAAGAATGTTTTACTTACTCTATCTTCAAGAACTTCTGCAAATTGTTTCTTTCAATGGAAATTAAAATCTCGAGAGAGGGTGAGATAAATCACTCAGAAATTTACAACTACATTAACTTTATCCATTGTGTTCCAAAGTTTGCTCATTTGAAGTGCACAGGTAATCAAGTCCAAAAAATTATTCATTGGCCTAATAGAGTTTTAAAGAGAGTGGCACGAAAACATAATAACTTGACAACGAACAAGAAAAGAAAAGGGTGATATCAAAGGAGAAGAAACTAGAGCGAAGAAACCTAAAAAGAAGCTTAAAAATCAAATGAAATTCTACTAGACTGGAATTTTATCAAAATATTAAAACTAATTTAAACAAACATTATTTAAATTAAATTCTATTGAAACTCTATATTTTTTCCTATCTTTATCTCTCCATCATTTCTTGCTGACTAAGAGAATTCGACTCTGACGAGGTAGACTACAACTTCTTAGCCAATCAAATAATGAAACAGATGACAATTGAATCTTCAAATCATCCCCAGGGGGCGATCTTTCCTTTTAATCAAGTAACGACCCAAAAAAACAAAAAAAAAACCAAAACTTATGCAACTACTCAATATAACTACAATTGACTTCGCATAATGATAAGCATAAAGGTCTAACAACGTAAACTAACCTATAGAAAGAAATGATTACAACATCGGAAGCACGAATAACAGGAAATCCTCTCCAATGAAATGGCATTACTTGTTGAGAGGATATTCTAGAAGGGAATCCCCACCACTAACATGAAGACAAGTGTCCAACAAAAGGTAAAAGACAAGCTCATCTAGGTATCTTTGGTTAGGATAAACTTGAGCTTTTATACCTTGCATTGGTGTTGTCTTGTAGTCCTTAACTTTATGCTTAGTTTCTCAGTATGAATTGTACTTCCTGAGCTAGACGTTGCATTTGTTGATGTATTCTTCCATTGATCATTACACAATCAAACCATAACCTTATTCAGTAATTTTACTTTAGCAAAATGAATTGTGTAAAAAACAAATCCCACTACAGCAACCTGATGTCTAGAATAGTAAGAAAGTTATTGACGGCATATTAGATTGAACGTGATTAATAAAGAAACAAAAAATTAAAATCTAGTCCACTATATGCTATTGGAGGAAGAAGGGTTTACTAACTTGGATGGCTAAGGCTTTTTGGGAAGGACAACACTAGTAGGAAGAATTGAGTGAAAAAAGAATTGCATTTCTCAACTTCTAAACGCATACACTTGACTTGTTACAAAATGGAAGGACCATATCCCATTATATATAGTTTACATGATATTTCTAAACCACATATTAGAAGGCTACTTGTCCTTCCAATAATTACAACATCTATATCTTACTTGGACACATTACTCACTACCATTTTAATACTATTCACTAGTTCTTCGACTACTCCATTTTGTTGTGGAGAGTATGGAATCGTTAATGGGCGACGAATTCTATTCTCCTCACAATATTTCTCTTTGAAAGTAAACTTTCCTTCTCTATCCGATCTCATGACTTTTATGCTATAGCCACTTTTTTTTTTTTTTTTAACAAGAGCTTTAAGTTTCTTGAAAATTCCAATAACTTTCAATTTTTGTTTCAGAAATAGATTGTAATGCCCCAAGTTTTTTTATAAACGCTAGAGGGTTATGAAAAACTCAATTTTCTCTTTTAATAATTTGCAGAACATCTCAAATAAAAAAAAGAATTCTTTATTCTCAATCTACCCGAACTAACATTTAAAAATTTGTAAGAGTAAGTATTCGAAAAACACCCAATAAAATACGTGCAGTTTCTATATATAATTATATAGCAAATAAAATCTACACTTCATACCACTCTGCTCTTATGGAGTATATCGGTGACCAAACGACACACACATCTTAGGTCCTCTTATAATTCCGTAGGATTTCATCTATTTTTTCTAAGAACCTGAAGACCCACCGACAATCCATGCATATTTAATTGGATATAAGAATATAAGGAAATAAAAACACTAATACAAAAGTATCTTACCTTGCTAAATAAAATGAAATATAACTAGGAGTGGGCATTTTTTCAGAACCGGTGGAGGCCGGAACTGGCCGATTCAATTCCGAATATTTTAAAAAATGATTTGATTTTTGAACAAATTATTAAGAACCAACCGATTTCGGTCCAGTTCCCGATTCTAGTATGGGAACCGTCGAGAATCAAACGGTTCTCATAGGATTTTTTTTTTCATTTTTTTGGTAAAATATATTATTCAATTTCCAATCACTTTTATCAAAAATAATCGAGTTCCTTTTCATTTTAGGCTCCAGTTCTTTCCTTCTCTTTGATTCTTTCATTATATTCTCAAGTCAAAATTAGAATATTGGGTAAATCTTTATCTAAATAAATTTATTTACAATATATAATTTTATTTATAAGATGCGAAATTTTTATTTTGTTTCCACTTTGATTACATAGTTGTTGATTCGATCGAAACTTTTCATGTAGATTTCTGCAAATTATAACAGATAAAATTAGAAGTTGCAATAAAATTTTAAAAGGTGTCCAATTCAATGTAGAATTTTGATTTTAATAGAAGTTTGTTTAATTATTGGAGTATTGTGCAGTTTATATAAGTTGATGATAATTTGATGATAATAACTTATATTATTTGGTTATTGCTTTTAAATTTGAATACGTAATTTTCTTTTAATTTTTGACTAGTATGTTCGGTTCTCCGATATTTTCTTAAAAGTATCACGTTGGTAGCATCTTTAAATTTTTTATTAATGAACATTTTATTTTGACATTTTTAATATAAAGAACCTGATCGGACCGAACAGAAACCGATTGGTTCGGTTCCAGTTCGATTCCATAGCTAACTACGGAACTAATAGTTCAATTTCTAAAATTCTCATTGGTATGCGGTTCGATTTCGAACCCGACCGCGCCCACTCCTAAATATAATTGCTCGTGCCCAAATTCTTTTCTCAACCTCTCTGCTTCGGTGAAAGCACATTGATTGACAATGATGTATGCAAACTTTTAGATTTCCAACACTACCTTCTCCCTCTCTCTTTAACGTAAGTGAATATTTGGATTTGTGTATGTAAGACTCTTCCAACATATCTATATATAGGTGTAGGCTAGAGTAATTGATAAAAACCAGAAATTTATTTGATAGAGTCAAATCCAAAGTGGCATGTATCATAAAACAAATATTGTATTTTATCGTTGTTTTATTAAATCTAAAAGAACTACTATCCCCTTATCCAATATCAATATACTTCATCTCTTTTTATCAAAATCTAATTATTTGATTCTAGATAAGATAGGAATTTAAAATATATTTCATTTATCCATTTTTTTTTAGCATGACAATAAATTTTATTTATTTATTTTTAATTTCTTTGTGTTACATTGATCCAAGTTTTTCGACTAAAATCATCAATGAAAAAAAAAGTAATTGTTCTTACCGAGAGAGCTTGAATTGATTGGCTATCTAACATCTGAGTGTACAAGTTCTAGCAACTTCTTAGGTTTTGTAGATGCTATTTTTGGAATTTCCTCGAATGCATCCTAAGTAAGCATCCTTCACATAGTTTATCGAATCTGTATGATCTATTGAGGATAAACCTTGCACCATCTTCTTATTCTATAATTTTGTGCCCCCAAAATTAAGATGCCCAATTCCCAAGTGCCAAAATCAATATTAATCTTTGTAACAAGATTTTTAAGCATTTAACAACATCATTTTGAATGCTTAATACAAATATTCTATTTCTTGTTATTGGGACTTTGACAATCAAATTTTCTCTTTGATATCTTATTTAAGGAGTATGATATTCCAAATGAATATTATAGCCCTTCTCTAAGAATTATCCCAAACTCAAAATGTTATCATATTGGACACATAGTAGACATTTGAGATAAATTAATGAGTATCATTCTTCAAGCAGATCAAGATTTTACCTTTGCCTTTCACCAGGATCTTGGATTCATCTCCAAAATTAATATTGCTGCTTATCGATTCATCAAACTCCATGAACATGCTTCTTCTTCTACACATATGATTGCTTGCTCACATATCCAAACATCAATTGTTCTTTTCACTACTTTCTTCACCTTTGTAAGCCAACAATAGTGTAGGATCCTCTTTATTTTTCCGACTAGCAAGTTGGCTTTCTCCTCAACCTGGTTAGTAAAATTTCTACATTATGAAGCATAATGGCCAAGTTTTTTTACAATTGTAACATTTAACTTGAAATTTGTCATACATTGGCCTTTCGTTTTTTGCTTCATACTTCCTCTTCTACGACCTCTAGTAGAAAACGAGCTTCGACTTCTTTCCTCGTAGAATGCACTTCTTCCTTGATCTTGACACGTCTTCTTCCTCTTTGGCTTCTCCTATAGTCAAACCTTCCTTCACTTTGAGCTTTGTTCGAAGAGCTTGCCCTAATAGCTCTTCTTTCGCCTTCTTTTTTAGTCTTTCCTCATTGGCTTGTAAAGATCTCATGAGTAGATCGACACTCATACTACCTAGATCTTTAAATTCCTCAATGGCTACAACTACATAGTCAAATTTAGAATCTAAAGACGTATGTATCTTCTCAATTACTCTTTAATTGGTTCACAATGGCCAATACTCTCAAAATGTAATCAGAAATTGATTTCAACTCCTTTATACATAAGTTTTAAACTCACCTCAAAGTGTTCGAGTTGAAACTTTTTCACCTTCTCAACTCCTTGGTGTGAGTTTTGCAAGATCTCCTATACTTCCTTACTCTTCATCTAAGGCTTGACAGATGAGGGAAAGCGCATTCTTCCTTACATCCTTCAAATAAAGCGACCTCTTCTTGTAGCTCCATGTAGCCTTTCTCTACGATCTACTATATATCTTGCGACTTGAGCAACGCTTTGATCCTTATGTTCCAATTATTGTAGTTATCCTTGTTGAGTTGAGAGACTTGAATAATAATCAACCCACTTGCCATTTTTCACAAAAACCTTATGGCTTTAATACCAATTTGTTGTAGGAAGAGGGTTTACTAACTTAGATGACTAAAGCTTTTTTAGAAAGACAACACTTTGCTTGTTACTGAATGAAATGACCCGTGGCCCTTTATATATGCTTTACATAAGACTTTTAGACCACATGTTAAAGTGCTACTTGTCCTAATAATCACATCTATTACTTACTTGGACACATTACTCGCAACTCATTCTAATACCATCCACTAATTGTCACTAAGACACATTCACTTTCATACATTTGGACTAAATGTTTTCCTAGAATACTTTAGATAAAGCTTCTAAAACCACATGAATTAAGCCACTCAACCCGCACCAATAACCACAAGGATGACCACGCCCTCACATGGGGTGAATGGGTCCCGCGTGAATTAAAAAATCCGACCCATGTGTGTGCAATCATCCCCACGGTCACTCCTACGGTTCGTATACCTCGGTCCAAAACCATATACTCTACCTGACACATTACCACACTTATCACCACATCTTTCAATAAGATATTTACATAAATTTTTCTAAAAGAAGCTTCTAGAGACGTTAGGCTTTGTTGGGGCTTTTTTAAGTGAATTTAGCTTATGAACAAAATCCTTCAACTCATGTTTCTTAACCCAAAATCAAGTTTACTTCTCTGCAAACTATCCATTGCTCTGTAAATGCCAAAAAAAGATTCACATCAAAATTAGATTCCTTGTAGAAAGAAGCAACCAATAGTAATTCATCACCATCTTGCCCGCTTCCAGATGATGACACTACTATACAAGTGTTGACCTAAGCCCATGTGCTGGGGCTCCGCTTCCTATCACAGCTAATAAAATTTTTGGAGGAACATATACATGGAGAATTGATTTAGCCCTCATTTGACCCTAATTAAATTAAATTTTATTTTTCTCTTCTATTTTCAACCACACAATCTTCTATAAAATAATATTACACGTAAATTGAAAATTTTTCATTCTTTTTCAACTACCTATTCTTCAAAAATATACTATTCCAAACATTAAAATTTGAAATAAGAGGGACCAAATGAGGACTTAGTTCGATAATATTTGATTGATAAACCGGCATCGGATTTTAGAAAGGTACAAAATGTATTGTCAAATATTCAATATGATTCCAAAATTTGATGAAAAAATGAAATACAACAAAGTTGGATGATCAGAATCAGCCTAAAAGCTTGAAACAGCTGTTTAAAGCTGGGTGTTCACTTACCCAACATTTCAGATAAGAAGTGTAAGAGGCAAGTTATATGGGTTTAATGAATTGACGCTAAAGTTATCCCAAAATATACCACAAGTCTAAACTTATATTTTGCCTGCAAGTCAAAACATACATGAACGATGCAGTTCTAGGAAAGCATGGAGATACTCAATTACCGAGCAAAGACGGCATACAAAATATTGGGCATTGAGACGAAAGATTGCAGTATGCTTCATTTCAAATTGAGAAGAGTAAGCTCTGGAGCAAGCAACTGAATTAAATTCTTCATTATTTCTACAGAACACCTTCTCCAAATCGAGGGAGAGAGAGAGAGAGAGAGCATCAAAAAAATTATTCGAAATGATACAAGCATGCATCACTAACCCCACTTCCAGGGACCACCCTAACATAGAATATGATTTGGACAGCCGAGCCACGTCTAGCATTTTACACGCCTTTTTCCACCTTCAAAAGGGCCTAGTAGAGAAGCTCAAATACCCGCAAAGGACATGTAAACAACTCCGACTAACCATCATGCAAACATCAAGTCAGTGACTATCAGCTCTACAAGAAATAATCAGGTGTTCTCCGAGTTATATCAGGTTCCCCTCTCCGTGGAGCTGGTTCAAACTGCAACAGCAAAATAAAAAGGCATCAAAGCTCCAGAATTAATAATTCATTAGCCCCAGATTCGCACATATATATAGAGGGGTGACCTGAATAAATGTATGCTCTCTGCAGTCATCAACTTCCAAAATGGATGCCATATTTCCACAACGATAACAATAATTTGGTGCACTAAAGATAGTGACCACCTTTTGTTCCTGTGGTATAAGGTCAAATCAATTAAGGATAGCACTTATAGGAACAATAACGGAGTAGATACATGGTCTACACATTACTGAATTGAAATAATTACATGTGCCCAGTTGTATCCCTCCATAACGAGCTGATGAGCTCTAGCAATTAGCTTTAAGTTGTTGGTATGATTGAATTGCTCCGAAATGTCCTATATAGTATGGTGCAGAGGAAAATAGAATTATTCAGCCAAAAGAAGAAAATAATATGATCCTTCAATATATAGATGGCACTACCTGGCCAAAAGTGTATCCAGCACCACGAGGGGAGATGCCCCAACCGCAACGATCATCTGGATCAGACCACAACAGATCACACATCGGACCTTCATGTGGAACTTCTTGAACACGATCAAAGTTTCTTATATTATCAAGAGTTTCGACAGACGGGGACAATCCACCATGCAGACAAAATATTTCTGATTCAACCTACATAAAGACCACTAAATCCGAATCAACTTGCAAGTTCAATAAACTAATATTACTCAACCAATTTGAGTTTCGTAAAAGATACCCGCAGCTATGTATAGCAATTATAAAGGCCGTCATGCCTTAGATAAAAAAAAACAAAGATAAATAGTTATGAAATTACTTCTAACAAGAATATCCTTCTCATATATTTGACGAAAGGAATGTTAAATATACATGTCACGCATCATTTACAAAATTTTACAGCCAACATTGAGGGTAAGTCAATGTTGATCAGACTGCTAGTAATTATAAACATCTTTTGCTGGCGTGAAGTTTATCCCACCAACTCAAAACCTCAGGCCTCATGCAAATTAATTACCAAGTGAAAGTTAAGAAGCTTTAAAAGAAGATAAGAATGGAATCTAAAATTCAAGTCTTTCAAAACCACACGAAAATGCAAAAATGATAAAGCAACATATGCATCTGATACACCGAGTTTCATTTCTCATTTGCAGTTTTTGTGTGCACATAGCAGTCTGAAGTAAATTATCCAAATTGGTGGAGCAACAAAATTGGGTATGTGGAAGCCATAGACGTTCAAGTATGAAACTTCAAGTTATTTCAAACAAAATTTAATTCACTCCGTTGCATATATTATACTTAAGAGCTATGATGCTAGGACTCAGGTACGAGTACGTATCGAAATGTCGAATCTTTTATTTTGTAGAATGTAGGATGCGAGGACAGGACTAAAAGAGTCCAAATCCTTTCAAACTTCAGTTTTTTTTTTTTAGTAATCCAAGCTATCATTTTGATTTGATTAGACCAAAATCAATTATTTACCAAAAATAAAAAAGGAAGGAAATGATTATTCAATAAGGAGTTAAGACGAATAAAATAGAATTTTCGTGTTTAGTTTTCAATTATGAAAATTACTAAATGTTATATAAAATAGCAAATATAGGACTTAATTGTAATTTGGACTTAGTGGATAATTAAGTAGCACTATATGAAACACATTAAAAACAAAACTGCCGATACAGAGAAGGATACAAGAAAATAGAAAGAAAGAAGAAGAAACAGAAGGGAAAACCTAACACCGCTACCTTTCTCCACCCTCTCGGCGGTAATGCTAGGTGTATAGAGAGGGGAGACGGGAAAGAAGAAAAGGAAAAGAAAAAAAGGAAGAAAAAGAAGCAAAAAGGACGAATTATACGATTGAAATTTGGAGGATCTGACACATATTCCATACTCATACCCATACTCATGCCCTCCCCATGTCGTGTTCTGTCCGACACGGGTATTCCTACTATTTCGAAGTGTCCGAGCATCAAAGCTTAAAAGGCAAATTTGAGTACTTAAACTTTTTTCCTTTCTCAATTCTATATGCTGTACTTGGCTTAAATACAAGGAAATTTTCTAGGAATGACTATTGACCCAAGTCATCATGGGTACAGGAAAAGAACATTTCCAACACAATGACATCACTACACTGTGAGACGATGATAGTGGGAAGAGTCTTCTACTAACCAATGCAGTCAGTGGGAAATAGTCAAACAGATCTGTGAATGTCTTCCAAACATTAGCATTTCCATACCTGTATTACCAAATGGAGAGTTTATTAACAATAATACACAAATGAAAAAGAGAAATGCAAAAATTCCACATGAATACATCTAACTAGCTGTATATGATCATGAACGCATACTATTTTACTTGTATCCCAAGACATACAAAAGCATAAAACAGAAGTAAAATAGCATTTGGAATACTTGATCCTATGTCACATAATCAATGGGTTTTAGAGTTCTGAATTCAGCATTCTTGTGATACTGGTTGCCTGGTAACTGGATCATAATACTCCTAATTGAACATTAAGTAGTCAAACTCATGCTCTAGAAAAGAACCAGTTGTTCTCTTTACCAGTCATTTAACACCGCATGAGCAACTTCAAGGTATGTGCCCATGAATCGTTCTGACACTCCTTGTAGTTTTTACACATTTCATTATCATGTTGTCAATATACTCAATTATATTTCTTATTTAATGAAATGTTCCAACTACATTCATAAACATAAAATATATCTCAAATAATATAAATTATAAAAGACATTATCAGGATCTCGATATTGAGTGTTCTCAACAGTGACAGTCTCACACACTCATGCACACTTGGGCTCACAGAATCTGTGACTTAGCTTGTAAATCCCAGGCATGTCCAATTCAATGAGAATGCACAAGAAATGGCAACTTATCAAAAGGTGAACTGACACAACGCAATTTCCTCTCCAACTTTTCCTTTATTCAGGGGGGAAAAAATAGACAGAACAAAACTATCTGAGCACTCAAAATATTTGCTTCTGTAATTGGTAATTATTCAGTATAGCTTTATAGAAACAGTTAAGTAAAATGGATGCCAAACATAATCTGACAACCTCGATCCTTAAGATTATTGAGATTTAAAACACATTAATCTTGGTTTAATGCAATTATAACAGTCTTCTCAAATCAATTCTTAAATTAACCAGATACTATGGGCAATGAAAATACAAGTAAATGAAACAGAACAAAGATTTTATCCAGGATTGGACATAATGGACTCACTTCCGGAGACATTCATCATAAAATCCATAGACTTGAGTAATCTGTGAACAAAACAAAGATTTGATCCAGGATTAACCATAAAGAATTATAGAACATAGGAACTACATTTAGTTAAACAATAAAATAAAGAACAAAATTGTCACCGTAAAATAATGACCCACCTAACAACAAAAGCAGTGAAATAAACAAGAGGAGAATGAAAAAACAAAAAAAAAAAAAACGCCAGACTGCTTATATCTCAGTAAATGACACTTAACTTCAACTAAAATCAGTTCATTGGTAACGTCAACTAAAATCAGTTCATAGAAATGTTAAATTTCAAGAAATCAGGTTAGGGCTGCCAACAAATTTAATTTCAAAGAAAATTAAACAGGTTGCAACTAAAAAGGTTTTCTATTTACGTGTAATATTATTTTATTGAAGAATGTGTGATTAAAATTAAGAGAGCGAAAAATGTATTAAAATGTTAATGGTGGCCAAACAAGGGCTTAGCAAAAACATTGTCAAGAAACTCAGCATGGCCTTTATAAGTTCCATCACTGTCCAATAGCACAAGTCATGCCTTAAAATCAACCATAAGCAAATAAAACCAAATATTGCTAGCTTTAGTAGATGAAAGCACAGAAGGGCATAGTTTCGAAAACTCTATTTATTCAGCACTAATAAGTAATAAGCCTCAGATACACATGCTATCAAATATGAGAAAGAAAAAGAGTTTTTTGGAAGACAAAATATGACCATAGAAAATTTTAATAATACCTGTCTACTTTCATGATTTCCTCTAAGAATTGTTATCCGTTGAGGATAGCGCACTTTCAGAGCCACTAAAAGCTGCATGAAATTAGAATATTAGCATCTAGCACTGTTGAGCATTGTCTTAAAAAAATTGTATAATGCATACTAAGCAATCTCTACTCTAATCAAATATATTACTGATACATGCATCAATACTGCTTCAAACCTCGACCACCCACCAACCAATGAAAAAAAAATTGAGAAGACACAAGGGCAGGAGGACAGCTGTTTTGTGATTGTGACCCATAATACAAAAGCAAAGTTTCGCTATTCTAAATACAACCATTATTTAGCTTGTACTTACAGTTACAGTTTCAACTGAATAGTACCCACGATCTACATAATCTCCCATAAATAGATAATTTGTATCCGGAGACTGTCAACAAGAAACAAATAATATTAATATACTGAAGAAGTGTGATCAGATTCATATGCGAACTTCTAAACACCAATTTACTACAGACAAAGCTAGCTAAGTTTGAAAAGAGAGACAAGATTGACAGCATTTACAATTTCGTGAATCAGATTCTCTAAGGAAAATCATGCCCTTGTACACAGTGGTGAAGGATAATGTGGACACGCCTGGTATGCATTCAAATGAAGCATCCACGTTAGCAAATGAAAAATTAACCAGCCTGGTATGGATGCATAAGATGGATCTCTCATGATCAATTTCACTATGATTAAGCAATATATGTGCGACAATATTTCAAGAACACTTCTTCTTTTTCCAACCAACACCAAACCAAAAGCTGCAACTCCTTACTGCATGATTAAGGGAAGAGGTTAAGCAACAAGAAGTCAGATTTTATGCCTTGCTTGCGCTTGTTCCACTGGTTGAATATCGGTTGTCAGGAAGGGTAATATGGAAACAGTTTTGATCCACTATAATCGAATACAAATTTAGCAAGAGTGAACAATTCAATTGGGGGGGAACAGAAAAAGGGGATACATCAAGAGAGAATTTCAAGAAAAATAATAAAAGAATATTAGTTAACAGGAGGGATAAAAGAAATATCTGCAAGACAAAGACGTAGAACCATGTAATTGCTCTTGTATCGTGCAATTTGGTTTTTAAACAAGACTTGTACAACATATTCAGATCAGATCAATAATTTTTATTGATTTTTTCAAATTGGTTTCCCATCTTCTGGTTAATTTTTTTTATTGTCTGTATCTACAGTTTGCAATCTATGAAAAGATTAAGATATTGTAAAATAGACGTGCCAAAAAAATCTTTCCTGCGCACTTAAATGTGTTATACTTAGTATATAAACAAAACTAAAATAAAGAGAATTATATATATCAATAGAAGAGGAAATTGGAATTAAAGAAAAAAGTTCAAAAATCAACACCACCAAGCAACTGCTGATCAAATTCAACCTGTTATGGTGTCATAAAGCAACATACATCCTCAACCCCGTTTGTCATTGTCAAATATAAACTTCCCCCAGCTCAAAACAAAAAGAATACAAGCATATTAGTATCAAAGGAAAATAAATTACCTTCCCTCCAATGCGGAAAAGTTCAGCGAGATCATGAAATTGGCCATGAATATCACCACAAATTGTCACAGGACTTTTTACAGGCTGCACCGCAGTAAACAAAAATTAAAAATTAAAAATAAATAAAAATAAAGTGGAGCAGATAAGAAGCATTTTTGAGTGGGCACAAAGTTAAGGCAGCAATTACTGATAAGTAAAAGGATTTATAACCAGGGAGCTCAGACCAAAATTACTCTATTTGGACAAGTAAAATTTTCTCCTTAGAAGAGTAAAAGGTCTCTAGAAGTTAAAGCAAAACTTGAGAATCCAAGCAAAAACGAAGTCTAGAAAAAAAATCAACTAAGCTGTTAGTGCTCTTCTTGAAGTTGTGTCCTCACCTTCCCAGGAAAAGAAAAATAATAAAAAAAAATACCACTTATAAAAGAGGATCTTCCACTCAAAAGCCACAAGGTACCAAACAAGTGAAGACTATTTAATTTTATAATCCCTATTGCCAAAAGGTTTGTTTCTAATTTATATGAAAGTCACCCAGGATAAATGCGTATCAGTTCAATACACCTAATCTATTTTCTTAAAAAACTCAAATATATTTAAATTTCCAAAAAGTCGAAGCTCCTAAATATTAGCTGCAACAACCAGGCCATAGTATAAAAGATATATCCAAAAAAATGGGGGTTTTTTTTATTTTTTCCTTTTTTTTTTTTTTTTTTTTTTTTCCCTTTTTTTTTTTTTTTTTTTTTTTTTTTTGGTGTGTGTGTGTGTGTGTTTCAGGCAAGTAAGCAAATTTTAATGCCCAACAAAAATAGTAGTAAACAGAAAATAGAAATTCATACCTGGACATTACTTTCCTCCATTAGTATCTCTTTAGCCTTCTCACATACGCCCCTAACCTACAAACACAAAATAACGAATATTTTCAATCTATAATACATATTTCAATTGAAAATATGACGAAGCATATGTCAAATTCTAGGAAACAAAGAAACTGGTCTATATGGCCAACAGATTTGCTACAATTAAGCCCATGTTTGGTCCAGATTAAAATCTAAATTTTATTCTAAGTCAAAGTCAACAATTAATTTTAACAATATATTTCATAGAACCCACAACTTTTCAACCACATATTCCATCAACTTTCATCAAAATGTACTAAAAATTTGATTTTAATCGTCATCAAACAAAGGCTAAGTGCCATGTCATATGGCTTGTGATCCTTCATTTTAAGCATAGAAAGAATGAGACATGACAATTTGCCAAGCAATTTATTGTCAATTATCAACGTAGAGGTAGCCATGTTTCTATAAGAAGAGTTATATCGCCATGATGTTAGATCGAGTTGTTTCATTAATGGATCCCAGTGAGTCAGTAACTAGCCAGATGCTGGGTGGATTTGGTCAAATTGATTAGACCACAATGTAGGATGAGTATAGATAAAAGAATCTCCAAAATGATCCAATTTAAAAAAAAAAAGAAAAAAAAAAGAATGTAATGTGTGATGAGAACCATGGTATGAGAGCTAGCAAGAACAAGGACCCATTGATTATAAAGGAAAAACCAATGACTAAATCACGAGCAAAGAATGTCAAGGAAGCCATGGGATTACTTACTCGAGTTACAATAAATGAAAAATCGATCACAACAAGCAAAGGAATAAGTTTCATGTTGGGCTCGAAAGTGGAAACAAGATGGATCAACATAATTCAAGTGAAGGAAGAAGAATCCCAACCAAAGAGCTATGAGGTCGCATAACTTCATAAGGGGTGCAGTCGCATCTCAATGCAACAGGGCGTATTTTGGAGGAGATGATTGCTTTTATGCAACAGCTCCTAACTCTATGGGGCCACATAGAGTAAAATCTAGGCATGAATTATAATTTTATTCTAGTTTTCTATTTTAGTTAGAATTCTTCTTTTTGGTAAATTTTACCGTAATTTTGAGATTATCTAGGATTTTATTGTTTCCCTAAAAACAGGGCATTCTTTTATTCATTGTAAAAAACAAACAATTATTGAGATATTATTGCGAGATATATTGCTTTCAACTTGTCTTCATCGAACTAAACTCGAACTTATCAAGAATTATTTTTTTTAGCATTCAACAATTCAAGTGAGGTTCATAAGTTTTGTGGTCATGGGATCAAAATATTGATTTCAATTGTCTTGGTCATTTGGTTCAATAATTTATTGGGTCGAGCTTTCAAACGTTGATTCTTGGCTTTCTTGGATTTGATCTAATTGGTCGTGGATTTTGCAACTACAATTGCTGCATGAGTTCGCATCAATGTGTTCCACAACTTTGGCAAGATAGATCCAACTGGGGTCTTCACTTCATTCCACAAGTTAACAATTTTGTACTTAGAGAACTTCTAGTAAACAACATAATCACATTAGTACAGCCTGTCGACACCAAAGCACTCTAATATGCCTTTGTCTTGTCTTCTATTAACATATGAACCTGTATGAAAGTTAGTAGAGGTCCGACACACGTCTTGGCAAATAAGCATTGAATATATATCCATATCATATAATCGTCTAAGTAACTCTTTGATATGGTCATCAAATAAGTCAGAGTTCATTTTGTAGTAGAGTAGCCTTTAGATAAGGTCCAAAGAAGTTAGGATTCAATTTGTAGCATAATAATCTTTCATTGATGTGGTCTTCATGATCTAGATTCTAGTCCAAAAGTGGCCTGAAGAGTGGCAAATAAAGACTAAATTTCTTCTTCATATTTCTATTAATTAATTAAACAAAAACAAATTCCTTCAGGAAAACTGTAACCTTATAATTAAAAATGCATCAAATGTCAGTAACATACCAACATNCCCGGCCGGAGATTCGGGGCAGCATCAGTACTCGGAGTGATAGGTACACAGAAGTGTGTGACTGTATGCGTGAGAGACAGAAGAGACAGATAGCTCGCGACGAGTGCGAGCGGGGAAAATGGTGGAAACGAGAGGGCGAGGAAGGAGTCAAACGGGAATTTGCCTGGTTTTTGTATTTATTTATTTATTTATTTTTATTTTTTGTCCTTTTTGATTTCTTTTCCTGGTTCAAATAATTTAAATGGAAGATTTCAATTGTGGTCCCTAGTCCTTTTAAAAAAGTGGAATAAGTTCCAAAACTTATTTTTACCAATGCAGCCCCAACCCTTTTGGTAAATTAGCAGTGATATTTGGATGATTTCGGTCCAATTATCCAGAAATTTTAACTTAAATTTGACCCTTTTAAAAAAAATGGTAAATTTAGCATTCTACATTTTCGCACTTAAAAGAAATCAAAATACAAAAAAATGAAAAAGCCATTAAAAACAAGATTATCGACCGTTCGTTTTCTCCTGATGCCACAAAAATCGTACATATTGGTTCGCAAGCTTAATGACTGAGGATGAGTACGAACGAGTTCTTCTAATACCTGAAACAAAGGCAATAAGGTATGACATCGTCGTCCTTCCGATGCTTAAATTAGCAAGAGGGGAAATATACGCGTAAGGCTATAGATTTAATGTAAAAGCGTACCTCATCAATGAACTTGGGCCATGTATTTATAGATGTTGGTGGTAGAGTTGTAAAAGGATCCAACTACATGTAACCCTTTATTCTAATCATGTAGAGTGTTTGTATTATATTGAAAGTGTTCTGTTTGAGTTTGAATCAAAATGTGATAGGTAAGCTATGAGGATAAATATCATGGGGACTTATAATCGAAGTAGGTTTAATGTTTTCTAGAATGTGTGAGATAAGGATTATGTTTCACGACGTACAGCTCGACATGGATAGGCTTAACCTTAACATGGAAGGCCAACCTTGGTGATTGGGTAAATGTGGAAGGACAAGATTGGGCTATTGACTTCGAGCCTGGCCACATAAACTCAAGGATGTTCTAGCCTTAGGAGAGTGCTCGAGGTTATCATCACATTGAGCATGGGGTCGTGGATGGTTGGGACATGCAGAAATTGTATACATCATAGGCCCATCGTGCATCCATGTCAAGGGCATATGCGCAGTTTCTGGAATGAAATGCATAAGTACATTGGGTATAAAAATAGACATGCTCAGGTCGAGTTGATAAGCCTGTGAGCACATAGATCAGGATAGCAGGTTTTGACCATTTTAAAATTTTAAAAGGAATGAACTTGATGTCGATTTTTGTTAACAAGTTTGAAAGAAAGTGCTAGAACCTGAAATTGTTTAAAATTTGAAAGGAATGAACTCAATCTCGAGCTTTGTAAAGAATTCAAGAAGAATGAGTTCGACTTCAAGCTTTGTAAAAAAAGGTTGAAAGGAAGGAACTTGATCTCGAGCTTTGTAAAAAGTTGAAGGGAAGGAGCTCAACATCGAGCTTTGTAAGAAATTTGAAAGGAAAGAGCTCTACCTTGAGCTTTATAAACATGTTAAAAAGAATGAGCTCAAGCTTTGTAAAAAGCTTAAAGGAAGGAGCTCAATCTCAAGCTTCGTCAAAAAGTTGAAAGGAAGGTCCTCGATCTCAAGCTTTGTAAAAAGTTGAAAGAAATGAGCTCACCTCGAGTTTTGAAAGAAAATTGAAAGGAAAGACTGGATCTGACCTTGTTTAAGATTGAAATGAAGAAGCTCGATCTCGAGCTGTGTATAAAGTTGAAAGGAAGGAGCTCAACTTGAGCTTTGTAAAATATTTGAAATGAAAGGCTGGACCCGACCTTGTTTAAAATTTGAAATGAATGAGCTTGACCTCGATCTTTGTAAAAAATTTGAAAGGAATGAGAATGGAGGAGCTCGATCTCGAGCTTTGAAAAGAATGGGCTCAACCTCGAGCTTTGTAAAAAAAATTGAAAGGAATGAGCTTGACCTCGAGCATTGTATAAATTTTTTGAAAGTTTGATAGTTTTCGGGGTTATAAGGTCGGTCCTTTTACTTAATGATTTTTAGGATTATTTTTACTTGAATGTATGAAGTATTTGTAAGTGTACTTGGATGAGGTACAGCTTGAGGTACTTGCTTGAGGCAAGGCTCGAGGTGCTTGCATGAGCAAGGCTTTATATGCTTACTCGGTGAAAGGCTTCATGTGCTTGCTCGGGGCACGACTTGAGATGCTTGCTCTGGGCAAAGCTTGATGTGCTTGCTCAGGCAAGGCTTTACGTGCTTGCTCGAAGAAAAGCTTAAAGTGCTTGCCTGGGGCAAAACTTACCTACTTGCACGGGACAAGGTTTGAGTTGCTTGAGCGAGACGAGGCTTATGTACTTGCATGGGGCAAAGCTTGAGATGCTTGCACAGGCAAGGCTTTATGTGCTTGCTCGGGGGTAAGGATTGAGGTGCTTGCCCGAGATAAGGCTTGAGGTGCTTGCGCGAGCAAGGTTTTGTGTACTTGCTCGGGGCAATGCTTGAGATGCTTGCGTGGGGCAAAACATATGTTCTTGCACGGGGCAAGCCTTGAGGTACTTGCACGGGATAAGGCTTGAAGTGCTTGCGCAGGATAGGGCTTATGTGCTTGCACGGGGCAAGGTTTGAGGTATTTGTACGAGGCAAGGCTTATGTGCTTGAGCGAGGCAAGACTTGAGGTGCTTGCTCGAGACAAGGTTTTAGGTGCTTGCACAAGGCAATGCTTAAGTAGTGTTACAAATGGGAAAAAAATTAACTTTATTAAGATAAGATCCCAACGACTACTTAATGGAACATAACTTAATCTAACTAAAAATTAAATATGGGCACGAATGCCTGACCAATCAAATAATAAAAATAAGTGGGGGCATGAAAGCTCCGAGAAAAAAACATGTAAGACCATAATACTTTTGATGTATGACATTGACCAACTAAACAATAATATTAATCATGCATGCTATTAGTCGATTACTGCCTCTGGCCTCTGAGATTCTCCTTGTTATGATCAGTCGTCAAACGTTTGTCTTGACCGACATAAGCTCCTAGGAATCCTTTCTTGATCAAAGACTCAATC